TCGGGTTTCTCAGAACAGCAACAAAATATTTCCCTTTTAAAACCCTGAAACTTGTTGGTTTTTGTTCATGTAATCTGGACTAGAATGTAATCTGGATTAATCGAACGGCTCGGTTTATAAAAGATGTGTTTTTTTTTTAACGTTTAATTTGTCCTCTTTTTGTTACAAAACTGTTTCAAACCATAAATCAGACGCTCCAGTGAAACTGTCGTCCTCTTTAACTAGAACCAGACATCAGAATGTTTAAGTTCCCAAACACAATTAAAAAACTTCAAATCTGAAGGATCTTGATGTCTCATGATGTTTCTGCAGAACAATCCTGACCTGAAGCCAAACGGGTCGAGTTTCATTCTGACCCGTTCACCTGGACGGACACTTAAAACATCTTGACTGGAATGAAAGGTAAAAAGTTGTTTGTCTGCTGAGTCTTTAACCCAAAGTTATCTTTTTAATTATCTCTGTTGAAAGCTGGACGGTTAAAGAGTTAAGTCTAAAAAAGCTCCATGTCAGCTGACTGGCTGTTTTCTAAAAAAGTTTGGATTTGTAGTGGAGCGAAGAGACAGAAACACCATCCATGCAAAAATGTGTAAGGTTCCAACTTCCATTTTGGTGTGTAGCTGCGTCTATAAATAAGAGAAGTTTCTATCAATAAACAGGTCACCATGTCAAAATTCAAGATGGCCACCACCAGTGGTGGGCAAGGTTCCTCTAAGAGCTAATAACTAAATAAATTTATTGTTTGGCTGATTAGAGTTTTCACTAGCTTTGGAAACCGTCAGCAGAATTGGCTTCCAGTAAAATAGGTTTTGCAAACTTCAAGTCAGTCATCCACCCATCCATTATCTTCCGCTTGTTTCGAAGTCGGGTTGTGAGGGCAGCATCTTGAGCAGGGACGTCCAAACATCTCTTTCCACACCCACCTGTTCCAGCTCTTCTTCGAGGACTCCAAGGTGTCCCCAGGCCAACCGAGACGTAGTCTCTCCAGCGTGTCCTGGGTCTTCCCCGTGGTCTCTTCCCAGTCGGACATGCCCGAAGCACCTCCCTAGGGAGGCACCCAGGGGGCATCCTTACCAGATACCTGAACCACCTCAACTGGCTCCTCTCGATGTGGAGGGGCAGTGGTTCTACTCAGTCTCTTCCGGATAACTGAATTTCTCACCCTATCTTTAAGGGAGAGTCCAGCTACCCTGCGGAGGAAACTCATTTCAACCGCCTGTATCCGCAATCTCATTCATAGGTGAGGGTAGGAACATAGACCGACTGGTAAACAGAGAGCTTTGCCTTGCAGCTCAGCTCCCTCTTCACCACAACGGACCGGTACAGAGTCTGCAATACTGCAGATGCTGCACCGGTCCATCTGTCAATCTCACGCTCCATTCTTCCATCCCTTGTGAACAAAACCCAAAGATACTTGAACACCTCCACTTGAGGCAGAACCTCATCTTTGACCAGAAGAGAACAATCCACCCTTTTCCGGTTCAGGACCATGGCCTCAGATTTGGAGGTGCTGATTCTCATCCCAGCTGCTTCACACTCGGCTGTGAATCGTTCCAGTGAGAACTGAAGGTCACGGCACGATGACGCCAACAGGACCACATCATCTGCAAAGAACAGAGATGGAATCCTGAGGCTACCAAACTGGAATCCCTCTACTCCCTGGCTGCACCAAGAAATTCTTTCCATAAAAGTTATGAATAGAATCAGTGACAACAGGCAGCCTTGGCGGAGTCCATCTCCCACCCTGAAGAGGTCCGACTTACTACCGGCAATGAGAACCCAACTCTCGCATCGCTTGTATAGGGACTGAGCAGTCCATAAAAACAGGTCCCCAATCCCATTCTCACAGAGCACCCCCAACAGTGTACCACAAGGAACACGTTCAAATGCCTTCTCCAAGTCCATAAAAAGCATGTAGACTGGATGACCAAACTCCTATGGGGACAGAGGAGACCAGTTTCTCAAGTTTAGAAATAGGAATGCTCTCCCATTCATGTCTAATACAGGCCTCTAACTGTTCAATCGTCTTGGGCCTTCTTTGTCGCACCTTCCTCTTTATGATGCGCCAAATGTTCTCTATAGGTGAAAGATCTGGACTGCAGGCTGGCCATTTCAGTACCCGGATCCTTCTCCTACGTAGCCATGATGTTGTGATTGCTGCAGAATGTGGTCTGGCATTATCGTGTTGAAAAATGCAGGGTCTTCCCTGAAAGAGATGACGTCTAGATGGGAGCATATGTTGTTCTAGAACCTGAACATAGTTCTCTGCATTAATGGTGCCTTTCCAGACATGCAAGCTGCCCATGCCACAAGCGCTCATGCAACCCCATACCATCAGTGATGCAGGCTTCTGAACGGAGCGTTGATAACAACTTGGGCTATCCTTGTCCCCTCTGGTCCGGATGACATGGCGTCCCAGTGTTCCATAAAGAACTTCAAATCGTGACTCATCTGACCACAGAACAGTCTTCCATTTTGCCACACTCTATTTTAAATGACCCCTGGCCCAGTGCAAACGTCTGAGCTTGTGGAGCTTGCTTAGAAATGGCTTCCTCTTTGCACTGTAGAGTTTCAGCTGGCAACGGCGGATGGCACGGTGGATTGTGTTCACTGACAAGGCTTTCTGGAAGTATTCCTGAGCCCATTCTGTTATTTCCTTGACAGTGGCATTCCTGTTTGAGGTGCAGTGACGTTTAAGGGCCCGGAGATCACGAGCATCCAGTAGAGTTTTACGGCCTTGACCCTTACGCACAGAGATTGTTCCAAATTCTCTGAATCTTTTGATGATGTTATGCACGGTTGATGATGATAACTTAAAAGTCTTTGCTATTTTACGCTGGGTAACACCATTCTGGTATTGCTGCACTATCTTTCTGTGCAACAATGGTGGAATTGGTGATCCTCTTACCATCTTGGCTTCTGAGAGACTCTGAGAAGCTCTTTTTATACCCAATCATGTTGTCAATTGACCTAATTAATGTTAATTGGTCTTCCAGCTGTTCGTTATATGCTCAATTTCCTTTTTCCAGCCACTTATTGCTACTTGTCCCAACTTTTTTGGGATTTGTTGACACTGTGAAATTTTGAATCAACATATTTTTCCTTTAAAATGTTACATTTACTCAGATTAAACTTTTGATCTGTCATCTATGTTATATTACGAATAAAATATTGACATTTGCCATCTCCACATCATTGCATTCAGTTTTTATTCACAATTTGTTTAGTGTCCCAACTTTTTTGGAATCCGGTTTGTAGATTTGAAAGGTTTTTCTTTTCCTCCTTTTTGTCTGTGCATAAAGTCGGTCACAAACTTTTGTAAAACTACTTTTTTATATAAAAATGTAACATATTTTTTTATGAACGCCAGTCAAAAACTTCTGCTGCTGTGTCTGCAGATTCACGCAGCACGAATGGCCAAACAAGTTCAACTCTTCACGCATGCTGAATTTTTGAATTGCAGCAGTTTTTTTTGGCTTTAATGATCTTTTTGAAGCTGACTGGTCAGAAAACGTTCAGTCATCATCATGTTTCTGTTTGAGCAACAGCTGGGTCACACACTGCTGCTCTCAGCAGGAAGCTCTGAGGAACATGCGACGACACGCACATCCATCCTGTCACATTCAACATCCCATCAGCTTCTCGCACATCAGGAGGTTCTGGAGTCCGACTAGCGGGGTTGGGAAATGTGAGTAGAGTAAAGAGAAAGTCTCTGATTTCACATCTGTCTGAGAAACATAAGCTCATCCAACGCTCCCCAGCGGACCCTTGGAAGAAAATTTACTCCAGACGTGTTTGAAATCAAACCAAAAAAGAAAGCAAGAGCTGCATTATTCACTTCATGTGTTTGGAAATCATAAAAATGTCCAAATTCAGAATGACAACGAAGAAAATGGACAAGAAATATCAGTAAAACTCCTGACCCAGCAGGTTGTACTTGCCAGATGTTTGCAGTTGTTTGTGTGAATTGCTGCTCGATGGAGGTGAAAAGAATCAGATATAATGAAATCTGAAGCAGATAAATTCAGCCTGAAGAAGTTTGATCGGAGTGAAACAAACAGGTTGTAGTCGATCAGACCAGTCACATGACATCAGAACTGATGACCTCTGACCCTGATCCGTCAGCACTTTGTGGAAGAACAAACAGAACATTTCTGACCAGTTCTTCAACGATCCGTTTTTAAGGTGGATATTATAACATTTGTGTTGTCAGCAGTTTATCTGAGTGTAAACCTGAACGACGGCTGATCTAATTAATGCAAACCGAAGGTCCGAGGCCCAGACCGGCTGCCATCATGGATCACCTGAACCCACTCAGACGGCACTGGGTTACACATTTACAGAGTGAACAAAGGGTCGACCCGACCAAACCTGAGGAGGCACCTTTTATACACGCTTTTAAAACATTTTCACAATTTTACATAAACTCTGACTTCTTGTTCACCTGCAGGCTCAAAAATGTACACACCTCATGTTCCTTTAATCACTGATGAGAACCCAACATGACAACCTGCAGTTATGTTCCAGTATTTACATTTACACAGAACCGCTTTGTGTCTGAAAGAGAAGCAAACAGATGTTTGTTTCCCATGAGTTGATGTTAACCACTAAGAGGACAGACACACCTGCTCAGGTGTCTGAACAGGAAACTGGTCATGTTTCGACCCCAACATCCATCTTTATTTCTTTCCAACATGTTTTTGTCTGTGAATTTGACTCTATCTTAACGTTTTACCGTGGTTTGTTCTCATCTCTAGAGTTCTGAGCAGCTCTGAGGAACAAACAGGAGTTAAAAACAACATTAACTGAGAGATAACGTAATCTTGTATCGGTTTTTATACAACAAACACATTTGACGCAATTCCAGAGGGAGGGAATCACGTGCTCCAACGAAGGCATCATCTGGGCGGGGCTTCAAGGAGAACGTGTAACTGACCAATCAGAGAGCACGCTGAGACGCTAGCCGTAGAGGAATTGACCAATCAGAGAGCTCATTGGGCCGCTATCTCTCGTCCAGTGCAGCCTTTATAAACTTAATGTTCCTCCGCTGATTAAAGATTTTTCTCCTCCTCCGAGCAACAAACACTTTACAGTAAGTTTTTTATTTTATTTTAAAGTCTTAAGATTGTTCTAACTTCGTGAAACAGCTGAAAGTATTAGTTTGTATCGTCGTGTTTTTCAGACTTCAGTAAACAACAAACCAATTTCCATTTAAAACTTGCAAATATATATTTAAAGTTAATCAGATTATTTTGTTTATAATGTAAAATCGTCAATTGTCGTCCTTGTGTGTTAATGTGGGTCATTTCTTTAATTCGGCTGTCTTTGTGTGTATCTTCTCTGCTCCGTAGACTCAAAAACAGGGTTTTCCTTGTTTTAATGAGCGGATTTAATCCGATTAAAATCGGCCTCTGGAACCAGCAGCTGAACGAACCCGTTATTTCCGCCCAAAGTTTCGCTTCTCTTTTCGTTTTCCTTGTTCCAGCCTGGTTCTCCTCTTGGCTCCGTGCCCGGCAGGTCCCGTGACTCCGGGCCCAGAACAAAAAAACAGGATCACAGTGTTCGGGACCAGGTCCGGGTTCTGCTCGGACAGAAAACGGCCCAAAAGAACCAGAGCTGAAACATTGTCTTTACCCACGGTCAGGGTGGTGGTCCCGGTGTCTGTGGACCTGACGGTTCCGAACATCGTGCTGCCCTGAACCGGTTCTGATTGTGAAATTTTCCGGATGAATCATGAAGAACCACGTGACCCCAACTGGCTTTAGAGCAGATAAACAAACAAACAAACAAACAAACAAAGTACAGTCAGAACAGCTGGGACGGTTCCAAACATGTTCTGGTTCTTGGTAGGAGGAGGTCGAGTCCAACCAGAAGACCTGGTCTAGAGGACCTGAGGGTTCTTTAAAGCCAAGTCTGATAAATTGGACGGACTAAGACCAGAATCCACCTTAAAAACCAGGAACAGAATCTTAAAGTCCAATCTAACACCCCGCAAGATCGAACGGTTGTAGAGCTCCACTCTTCTGGACCCTGGGCCGGACCCTGGGGGTACCCTGAACCGGACCCTGTAGGTACCCTGAACTGGACCCTGTAGGTACCCTGAACTGGACCCTGGGGGTACCCTGAACCGGAACCTGTAGGTACCCTGAACCGGACCCTGGGGGTACTCTGTGTTGCAGTAATTCATCTTGCAGGTGGAAAAAAGTGGGGAATAGTCTTAGATCTGATCCCTGTTGTTTACAGACTGTTTACCTGTTGTCTTATTGTCTTACAGGCTGTTTACCTGTTGTTTTACAGGCTGTTTATCTGTTGTCTTATTGTCTTACAGGCTGTTTACCTGTTGTCTTATTGTCTTACAGGCTGTTTACCCCTTGTTTACTTGTCAGAGCCCTGACGATGCTGCTCGTAGTCGTGGCAACGGTGTGTCTGAGTGCGGTTCTGTCCGCCCCCAGTTTGGACCCTCAGCTGGACCAGCACTGGGACCAGTGGAAGAACTGGCACGAGAGGAAGTACCACGAGGTGAGTGTTGCCTGCTCTGTGAGGTTCTGGTTCTGATGAACGGGTCTGACCGGTTCTTGTTGACCGCAGAGAGAGGAGGGCTGGAGGAGGATGGTGTGGGAGAAGAACCTGAGGAAGATCCAGCTGCACAACCTGGAGCACTCCATGGGCAAACACACCTACCGCCTGGGGATGAACCACTTTGGAGACATGGTGAGTTCACCGCACAGAACCGGGTTCTGCTGGAACCACTGATCACGGTTGTTTCAAAGGTTCTGAAGTCCAGAACTGAACGTGACACGGATCAGGGTGTTCGGGAAGTGTTGAACTCATCTGAAGTTCTCTGTGCTCCTCAGACTCACGAGGAGTTCAGGCAGGTCATGAACGGCTACAAACACAGAGCGGACCGCAGGTTCCAGGGGTCCCTGTTCATGGAGCCCAACTTCCTGGAGGCCCCCCGATCCGTGGACTGGAGGGAGAAGGGCTACGTCACCCCCGTGAAGGACCAGGTAACGGACCCGTTTGTCTCACAAGCCTCTCTGACAGAAACTGGACACATTCCTGCAAACTTGTCACGTTTTGGCGAAATTCGCAGATTTCAAACAAAAAATGTGTCGTTTCCATGAATCATCTAAATGTGGAGTTTGTTTCGGGGGCTGGGGGCTCAGAGACGCGGTCGATGGCACAGTTTCCCATTGACTGGACGCATAGCGCTACATTAGTCACGCTAGCTAGCTCGCAACCTGTGCTCGCAGCAAAGCTCTCACTAGCTAAACGCTAAGCTAGTGCACTTATGTAGCGCTAGCATAGCGCTACATAAGTGGGGGGGGGGGGGTATATGTTGGAAGTAGAGCGCTACATCTGTAGCATCTTAGCTAGCTTGTCTGTATTGCACGCTGCTAGCTTTGCGCTACATTTAAAACACTAGTTTTTGCTATTAGCTAAATGTTCTGCTATATTTGTTTTCACTGATTGGCTTGTTGTTGTTGTTGTTGTTGTTGTTGTTGTTGTTGTTGTTGTTGGTTGTTTTTTTTTTATTATTTTTTTTATATATTTTGATTGATGCCATCTTTCCAATGTACGTCCTAATTAAATTAGGATATGTTAGTAAATGTATATATATTTTTTTTACCTGAAGCATTTTGTCTTTTCCCCAAATTTTCTTCTTGGTTGTGTACCAGGATGCTTTGAACGTGTCGTCCTACTCCTGATGCTCAATACTCCAGGTAGAAAAATCTAAAGAAGTGAAGTCTGGTCCTCTGGACCTCGTCTTTCGGACGAAAGACGAAACGTTTCTACAATTATTTGTTTTTTCAACCCGTCCAGAGGAGCAGACTCCACATTTTGTCCACGTGTGTTTTTAAACTTTACGAGTTCTTCACGTTGACTCAGCAGCTGTTTACTGAGCTGTTCTTCAGATAAGTGTCGTGTTGCTTTTATCTTTCCGCTCCACATGTTCGCCTGCCGAGTGTAGTCTGTCCCCCACCCTGCACACACACACACACACACACACACACACACACACACACACACACAC